CAATCTCAATATGTAAATCAAAATATATATACCATGTTTTTAAATGACTGTTAAAACCTTTATGAATAGCAAATGCAAAATAAAATCAGATTTAAATCTGACGGAGCAGCACCGACTAGTGGCAGTGAACTTTTTAATCTAATTTGAGCTAATGACTGCTAGGTCCCTCTCCCCCTCTGCTCACATAAAAGGCTCATTAGAAACAAAATATTACAGCTGTTTCTCCATTCACACTACACTTAAGTGTTGGAATAAGTGATTTTCTTTCTTATGATGCTTTATGTAGTTTAAAGACTTTTGTGAGTGTTTTGATATCATTATGTCCATGTAATAGGAGCATACAGTTAATCAAGTTAAAAATTGTGATTTCAATAATTACTCTGTAAAATTACAAATATGTTCTAGTCAAAAATACAATTCAGTTCTTTTCAAGATTAAGTGTGTGCCCGTCAAAATCTGGAGTAAAACCAATTACATACATTTTTCAAATGAAGGAGATGAAAAACAATACCAATACAGTTTCCCTGCAGGTTCATTTTGACAGAAGTTTGTACAAGTACAAGTACAAATTATGTTCATTTCAACTCTGAAGAGTGCTAATTCCTGTGGGAAATTCTTGCTCGGTATCACATCAAGTCTGCTTCACAAACCAATTTGATACAACACTAATGAGACACAATGTGGGCCAAAATCATGACCAGTTTGAAGTACTGACACGACAGCAGCAAAGATGATCCCACTGAAAATTCACAAGCTTTGTACCTCAGGAGAAGTGTACTGTGGGTAATTTACATACATACTTGGAGTTGTGTTTTGTTTCATTTTCACATGTTAAATACACAAACCCTGCATATTAAGGCCAAGTTCTTCACTTAAAAAGAAAACATTCTGTTCCACCTTGTGATGTCATGTGGTAATACAGGACATGCTTCACTGTGTTTTTTAATCTCCATCCACCTTCACTAGATTTATTTCAATAATTTCATTTTGGAATTGTCTATCTCTACTGAACTAAAGGTAAAATGTAGTTTTTAACTTGAAAACTACCACTTCATGACAAAACAGGATGGAAGGACATTTTGAGCTTTGGAGATAAAGGCAGACGAATAAAGGATTACTTATACATGTGTGAATGTCACAAAGCACAATGCCGGGTATGTTTTTGACAAGGTAACAACATTATAACATGACTTAAAGACAACTTTGTCACCTGTTATTTTTCATAAATAAATAAAAGGTAACAGCAGCCATAGAGGATCTGCTAGCTTTCATACACACATCTGCTTCCTATTCTTCTTATGGTAATGATCTGCTTTGTTCTCGAGGCCTGGGTTAATGAGCCGGTTAGGAGTCACACAATTTGGCTGCGAATGGTCGTATTAAGTAAATGGATTTTAATTTCCTAGCCTGACGTATGGATCCATAGCATACAAAGTGAATTCTAATGAAGGTGCAAATGTATGTTAGATTTATGGTTGTCACTTCCTCCTGTAGATGCTGATGTGCTGATATTTGTATTGATTAGCTGTTGTACTGCATCAGTCTGTTTGTGTATGATAGATGAAAGGAGCAGTCACAGGACTCAGGACTCCTTAAGCGTTAACAGAAACACTTTAGAAGCTGCATCAGCACTTTAGGACTGTTCGATCGTAGCTGATCAATGACAGTGATCGCTTTCTCTGGGTATGACGCGCTAATCTGCTCCTCAGCATTGCTTCATCCCCTCACAGAGACAAACCCATAGAGAAATCTCAGCATTTAAAGGCTTGTGCTGGAGAGAACAAGACTGCAGCGCAATAAAACACTGAACAGAAGCTGTCAGGTTCAGAGGTCGATTTTGATAGATTGCTTCAGGTAAATCGGACAAAAGATACTAAACCAAATGTCTTGAATGAATTTCCATATGAATCTGGTATAGAATTTGTTGCCATAGGTATTTTGTTGGAGGATTGAGTCCCAAGCCAAGATAAATTCTGTGAGTCATTATTATGCACAACTAAGGCAGGTGAGATCCTGTGAGGTTTAGGAAGATAACGTTTAGAGCATGGCCATAATGAGGTTATATTTGCAAGATGAACCAGTCCAAACCAGTCCATCTCTCTGTAGTAAGGCGATTCTTCTGAGTCTCCTTGCAGCAAATTTTCTCACCTTCTTCTTTGCCTCATGGCCCCAAGCATGTGGACTTCCTTTTCCAGGGAGAGACTCTTCTTTCAAAATACAGTATGTGCTGTGGGTTATTTTCTGAGCTGCCAGGCCCTTCGTACTTTAGGACTTTTACTTTATGAATAAATAATACTGCAAAGCTTAAAAAGGGGTAAGTTTTGGGTAGAAGTTTTGTGGACCAGCTGGTTTAAAATCAATCAGCTCTCTCTGTTGTCAGATTGTTTAATGTTTGAATGCAGTTGATAAAACTCAACTGCAGAGAAGTAATGCGTAAGAAAGATTCACATCATCATATTACATGTACGCTCCTTCCCATAACATATAGAACTTTTAGATTTAAACAGAATGTATGTAGTCATATTCCATTCAAGTTTGGGTTTCAAAATTAGCTCCTTTGTGGTTTTATTTTCTCTCTTCTGAAGCAAGGTTTGGCTAAAAATCATTATTGCTAACCCTAAACCCTGAAACGAGCACTGCTGTTATTTAAACAGTGGGAATGAAACTAAGCAGGGAAGACCAGAAAATATGTGGATATAATAAATAAAACAGGCCTTATACGCATAAAAAGTAACCCAATTAGTGGCCAGTAAAATCTGCCTTTAACACAAAGAAAACTGTTATTAGTCAGTTTGAAAAGTTTGCCATGCACACGGCAGCTTTCATAATTTTGTGACAATGACGATTTACGACCCTGGTAATGCGCCTTAATGCCAAAGGATTATTATATAAAGCAACTTCCTCAGACCCTAGAGTGTGACTATGGCCCCTCAAACCACTAGGGAAATCCATACCTCCTTTGCCGTCACACCAATCACCTCGCTCATTCCTTCAGTCAGATATCATCAAACTCAATTTGCTGTGGCGCGTGGTGCAAGCAACGGTCGTCACAGCAGCAGTGGGAGGGGGCGGTGCTCTTCTTCGTTGCTTGGCTCCTGGACACTGATGAGGGCTGATTAGTGCGATCCAGAGCGCGTCAGGCTCTAATGCCTCTAGAGCGCGAGAGCAGGATGGAGCCTCTTTGTCCCAAGCTATGGATAACACACTCCTTTCTTTATTTGCCTACAGAAAAACCCTGCTCTCACACTAACTATTAATTATCCATCTCTGAACTACCAACTTGAAGGAATTGCAATAGCATAATTTATCTTTATACATAAAATTATTTTGCAGTTTGTAAATAAGTCAGGTATTGACAACAATGTTTGGAAATTATGTTTTATTTATTTTTTAAAGCATTGTCCATTAGTGCAAAGAATACCGTCCATACATCTGAGTTGCATTGTGGCAGAGTGTTGACCTTGCCTGGGTCTCAGGAAGTTGGTTGGAGATCTTTGGAATCTTTAACTGACTATAGTTTTGTTGAGTCTGCACGTCTATCTGTGCGTGAAAGTGTAAGTGAAAATTGTCTTCCCAGTAGATTTGAGAAATGCTGTATAAATGTTTATAGATGACAATCTTAAAGGTGCTATGTAAGTTCATAGAAGTAGAAATTGGTGAGATATGTGTGTGATATGGAAAAATCATGCAAAGGTCCATGAAAGCACAATCTCTTAGAACAGATTACAGCTGTTGGCCTGCCTGTGCTGCAGTATACGAGGACTAGATGATGTGATAGTGTGACAGGTTAAGAGACCAACTGCTAATCTCCTGCATTCTTGTTAGCAGGCTGATGAGGCTGAGGCTGTCATTGGCTGGCTTCACTTGTAATAAAGAGGTGATATGCTGCAGAGCGTTCACTGCACACACATTAATCCACAGCTGCAGCCCTGAGTCTCTCCATCTTGATTTTGCTTGTTCTGCTTCAATCGATGTAGGCTCCTTTAAGACAGAGTTCATCGCCAGGAGGCATTCAGGGCAAATCGCACTCCCAGGTCACGCAATTTCAGTCTTTGAAAAAATACATATGTAAGAGGGTAAAATGTCAGCATAATAATCAGCTGTTGTACATGAGGGCATACAATATCATATATCATGAAGCAAAATATGTACAATTATTTTGAGCCTTTCACACTTGTCTCCATAAGGTAAGGATTTCTTTTTTTTTTTTTTTATCTATAATGGCCAAAATGTGGAGTGTAAACCCAATTCAAGATATATTTAGCCCAGGACTTGCCTATGACATCAGTATTGTCTCACAGGTGCAACAAGCTCCAAATCACCTTGCAGTTATATTAAACTCTGTCAAGTCTGGTCTGGTCCAAGAAGCTCTGATTTGGGTCATCACTTCTAGTAGGAAAATTATTTAATTGAATCAAAGTGATATTAGAATACAGTATTTGTTTGTATTTTAAGAAAAAAAAGTTTCTTGGGATCCAGACACTTCTTCAACACTTTATGAAGATGTGACTCTGGTTACTGGTCCGTCTCCGCAGGTTCAGATGGGCATCACAGGTGGATTAGCCAGGGCCATGGTCCATCCATATGGGAAAAGGAAAAAAGAAAGGAATAAATATAACAGTAGACTACAAAACATTGTGTGTTTCTGCAAATTCACTGAGCAAAGCCTTGAACTCTCTTAAAGGGATAGTTCGGGTTTTATGACATGAATTTGTATGGCATCCCAGTGAGCAGTGTCGTGCATCCACATTGACTTACCCCCGAAAGCGTCCGGTGAGCCGAGATACTGGTTGTTTTCGGTGCTCACGAAAGTAGTGTCACCTGGCGGCAGCGCGCAGTGATACAAACGGAAAGAAAATAGTGCCAAGCGATTATGAGGTCTGACTTTTTTGAGGACGATGGTTTGTGATGCACACATATCACTCTTTTGAACACATATTGTTTTGAGAAGAAAAACGCTTTATTTTAAGGTCCCCAGCCAACTTTGCTCAGCACCGAAAATGGCCAGTATCTTGGCTCACCGGACGCTTTCAGGGGTAAGTCAGTGTAGATGCACAACCCTGCTCACGGGGATGCCATACAGATTTATGTAAAAAAATCTGAACTATCCCTTTAAACTGAGGTGAGAAATATATTTTATTTAAATTCATGCAAGCACAAACGTGTGGTTTTGGCTTGAGTTGCGATGGATGGAGTGGTGACGGAACTGATATTCCTCTGTATAAAAATGCTGAGAGATACTGTACAGTCCTGGATTATCTAGGCAAGAAAAAAGGCTCCAGCTTTCTGTTTTAAAAATTATTATTTAAGTATTTAAGTTCTTCCAAGATATAATCTCAACAGTATAATTAAAAAGTTGGAGTATGTGTGAAATTCTAGGTCTATGTACTATCAGTTTCTGTTCATAAATACCTCCAGGTGGCTAATTAAAAAGTGCTTGCTGGAACAGAGCTGAGTAAAAAGTTTACAAAGATCATGTTATTTAATCGGTGATACAAGTGTTAAGACATAAGCTCTTATGTTTCTGAAGGTTAATTTCCCCAAAGATGGCCGCTCTGACAAAACTACAGACAGATTAAGAAAGCACATTTCCCAGAAAGATGAGCCATTATCGGATGACAGAGGGGAGCTGATCCTCTTTTTGCAGCTTGGTCGTAATTTAACCCTGAGCACATTCAATTATTCAGAGAGGCTCATCACACAGGGTTACAGTTAAACTTACAGTCGGGAGAAGTTTTTTGTCACCTCCTCATCAATCCTTTATTCACTCCTCCTTATATATATATATATATATATATATATATATATATATATATATATATATATATATATATATATATATATATATAATTTATTTATTTTTGTTTTTAAGTTAATTATAATTGATTGTATACTTCCATACAGATAACAAGCCAGTATGGCCATGGTGCTTGTACAATAAGTGTGGTTAAATGGAGAGGTAATATTACAAGAATGTCTTTGTGGAATTGGATCTCAAAAAACACTTAGAGCTAGTTTTAAAATTTTAAAGGCAAAATTGTGGAATAAAATTGAGATCCGTAATTTAAATCATGCAACCACCAATTTATTTTATTTTTTTGTGACATAGAAGCTGTGTAAGGCACCCAAAAACTTGTGCATTCCAGAACAATTATATGGTAAAGTATTTTTTGCTCCTCTCATAGTACAGAGCACTTTATGCTAAGGGCCTGTGAATGCATTATAGAATAGCATTGCAAATCTATTGTTAGCTACTCTGAAGGGCTATTAAAAGATAAAAATAATATTGTTATAAGTTTGCGTTTTGGCTCTCTCACCTGAAATGTTTTTATCTCACATTTTCAAATCCTTCTTTAATGCAATTACATTTTAATTTTGACAATGTGTCCCTCAGGCAGCAAAAAAAGCATGCTGTTATTCATTTACCACAGATGAAACTTTCTAATGAACGCATCTCTGGCAACATGAGTCCTATTCTTTAATGTTAAAAAAGTTCACAGTAACATCTCTGTCAAGTTTATCCAGCAAACGCAATTACAGCTGCAGTCTGAGCTGTGAAAGGGCCTCCAATTACTTAATTTTTCAGCTGATTGGTGGATCCTGGTGCTGATCTGGAAAGTAACCCAAAACTCCTCAGGAAAAAGATAAATGACTCGATTAGGTGTAAAGATAGTTATTAGCACAACTGCAGATAAACGTATGTGGTGGAAATAATGGTTTGTTGGGGGTTGTTTTCCCTCATTTTAAAGATGCACTGTGTAACTTTTCTGGTGGAGGGCCTGTCAAATGCTTTTCTCCATGGAGATGTTATTGGGTTTTTTTGAGTGTTTCACAGTATGGCATTTAACCTTTCCAACATCATGGAGACCAAACCAGACCAAGTTACAGGTCAGATCTGTGGAGAGGCGACCCCACCCAGTGAGAATGCCTGTTTTTCTAGGTATTTTTGAGCAATAAAAAACACCTGTAATTTAATTAAATATAAGCTAAAGTGCCTAGAATTTCTAGGCGCAGTCATGGGCCGGAGGGGGTCCAGTTTGGGGACCACAGGATCTCATCTCTGCTGTTCGCAGATGATGTTGTCTTGTTGGCTCCATTGAACTAGGACCTGCAATGTACACTGGGGCGGTTTGCAGCCGAGTGTGAAGCTGCTGGGATGAAGATCAGCTCTTCCAAGTCCGAGGCCATGGTTCTCAACCGGAAGAAGGTGGCTTGCCCTCTCTGGGTGGGTGGAGAGTCCCTGCCTCAAGTGGAGGAGTTCAAGTATCTCGGGGTATTGTTCACGAGTGAGGGGAAGATGCAGCGTGAGATTGACAGGTGGATTGGTGCAGCGTCTGCAGTGATGCGTTCGCTGTATCGGACCACTGTGGTGAAGAGGGAGCTGAGTCGAAAGGCGAAGCTCTCGATTTACCGGTCAATCTTCGTTCCTACTCTCACCTATGGTCATGAGCTCTGGGTAGTGACCGAAAGGACAAGATTGCAGATACAAGTGCTCAAAATGAGTTTCCTCCGCAGGGTGGCTGGGCGCTCCCTTAGAGATATGGTGAGGAGCTCAGTCACGCGGGAGGAGCTCGGAGTAGAGCCGCTGCTCCTCCACGTCGAGAGGAGCCAGTTGAGGTGGCTCGGGCATCTCTTCCGGATGCCTCCTGGGTGCCTCCCTCGGGAGGTGTTCTGGGCATGTCCCACCGGGGGGAGGCCCCTGGAAAGACCCAGGACATGCTGGAGGGACTATGTCTCTCGGCTGGCCTGGGAATGCCTCGTGGTCCCCCCAGAGGAGCTGGAGGATGTGTCTGGGGTGAAGGAAGTCTGGGAGTCCCTGCTTAGACTGCTGCCCCCACGACCCGGCCCCGGATAAGTGGAAGAAAATGGATGGATGGATGGATAAGATAGAGCTGCTTAATGTCATAATGTGGAACTTTTCAGGCAGAGCAATGGCATCCCCATGGAAACAAGCAGGTGATGGACCCCCAACCAAAAAGTTATATAAGCAGAGAGCATGCAAATGAAGGCACGTATAAAGTGAACATGCACTGTTACAATGTGTGCTCTTTGTGTTTAATTAACTCTTTCACCTCTGAGGATTTTATCTTTTGTCTTTTCTCGATACACTACACCAGCCATTACATTCACAATTAAAGGCTTAACCATTGTACTGTGGTCTGTGGTGCTCCATGTGAACCTGTGTGGTCTTTGGTTTTGCTCTGGTTTGCACTGTTTAGGGGATTAAAGGGATGGTCGGAAAGAGGAGCTGAGCTTAACAGATCATTAAAAGTTGATGAGGTGAAATGATGGACAAGGAGGGGAAATGCAAACAAAGAAAATAGAAACATGTGGTGTGGGCGTTACAAATGGAGAACACAAAAGAGTAAATGCCTCTGTATGTTCTGCAGAATATTTAATTATATTTTAGTGTCTTAATTTTACATGAACAAAGATATTCTGTAACATTTTTGTAACACAATGTGGCAGTGATACTTACAGCAATCAGTGAAACCCAGGTCACATGTCCACTGGTAACAAAAGGAATGCACTCTTCTTTCATTTCTAGGGCCTAATATACTAGACTTACATTGACACTCAATCTATAGCTCCTTTTGAGTTGGTAAATAATACGAGCCATGTGGGCAAGTGCCCTAGTCTAAGCAGAACACAATACATTTTCCATCAAACATCAAGATTTTCTATCATCAGCTACGTAGTTATGAGGTTGTTTTATTGTCTGGTAAAAAAATAAATAAATAAACCTTTACAACATTTGTTCTTATTAATCAGTATGACGGCCATTCTCAAGTATGTGTTTTTCATAATGACTACATCTATTGCTTTTACTTTCTTATACACAAGTAATATAAGTTTATTTTTAAAACAACAAATAAACAACAAGTGCATGAGTATTGCATTACACAGGACTTTCAAGTTTGACATTGATACACTGAAATTGATACACTGCTGTTGTAAGTTGTTATAAGTTACAAGTTGGACAATTCCAAACTGATAAACAAAATCAGGAGCAACTCTTTTAAAGTTTAAGGTGTTGAATCCATATAGATTTTCTCTGAAATGCGGCACTGATGGTAAACTATGTTTTACAGCTGCTGGGGCCGGTGGTAGAACCTACCTCCTTTATGGAGGAGCCCTGCAGTTGTTCTTTTGTTTCGGGCTTCATTCACACACACATTGTACATGGTCGTCTCAGCAGTCAAGGCTGCAGTTTTACTCCCAGTGCACATAAATCTGCTGGGCTGCTGATTGAAGAGAAAAGAGCGCAGTAAAACGGAAAGCAACGGTCCACAGGGGAATAGGCTGACCCGCTTTTTTCTGTTATGAACTATATTTTTGTCGTCTTTTCTGTTGGTGATTGCTGCTGAGCCGCTGGAGGAAGGTCTACTGATTTTCTCGACCTTGGTTCTTCTTAGGCTTCTTTTATCTGCCCCCGTCTAACGCCTTTGAAAGTGGAAGTGGATGAGAAGGGGGAGGAGCCAGCGGATAAAACAGTCTTTATCTCAGTATTCAAGTTCATCTCCTCAGATTGGCTGCTTCTCTCCTACATCACTGAGTGCTAATGTGCTCTTACATTGGGCTATAGGAGGACTGTGGCTGCAGGAGTCCAGCAGAACCTCTAAATTACTCACACATCCTGTTGGAGATGTATTTTTAACCCAGAGGAACTGAGGCAGCGTAATATCATTGTTACTGGTTATTATATAAGACATCTGCAATTGATGTACTATATGAATAATGCTAAGAAAATGCAGTATTCAATTGGATATTTTGCAGTTAATGGAAATATGATGGCCCCTCCTTGAACCGTCACCTTATCGTGGTGGAGGGGTTTGAGTGCCCGAATGATCCCGGGAGCTATGTTGTCAGGGGCTTCATGCCCCTGGTAGGGTCACCCAAGGCAAACAGGTCCGGGGGGACGGGTCAGACGAAGAACGGTTCAGAAGCCCCACATGATGAGCAACACACAGAGGCCAGTTACGTCGTCTGTATTGGCGTCACCGGGGCCTCACCCTGGAGCCAGGCCTGGGGTGGG